CTTCCTCGGGGGTCGAACCCACATCTTCATCATTCTCGCCCCCTTTGAGAATGTCCTTGTCCTCAAGGATTTGTCCCCGACCATCCAAACCTCGGGAACCTCCCCTTCGACCTCACTCTCGACATCGACCACTAGTTGGAACATCGCCTCCTCTTCATCCGCATTGTCCTTTCTACACGTCTCGTCATGGCTCTCTTCGACCACGACCATGATCTCGCTCGCAACATCGATTACCTTAGCTATCTCGGTCTTATCCTTCTCATGCCCCTCGTTGAAAAATTCTAGAAGTTCGAACGAGAACGTGGGTTCCTCGTTGATCTCGATGTACTTCGTAGCCCGGATAAGCCACACATTTGGATCGGCTCCCGTGAATGTCGGCATGGTGAGCTTCAGACGCGTGTGGTAACGGTCCTCGTGATGTCGCCGGCCCTCGCGCTGGTAGGTGGCACGCGATGCGCGCGTCCTTCTCGAATGTCGGTCGTACTCCTTATGCTCGATCTCGGGATTTCTCGACGCCGTGGTGGATTGCGTCCCGTAGCTTCTTCTCGGTCCGTGCGTAAGTCGCGTGAGCTGCCCGGCAAGATCATGCACCATGAGCTCGATCTTCACCAAATTTTCGTTCGTCGTGTGGTGACCGTCTCCAATGGTCTTCAAGCTTTCTTCCAACAACTCAATTCTCTCACGGTTTGACAACATTGTTTTTAATACTCTCGAAATTCACTAAAAAGAAGAGGGAAAATTTGAAAAAAAAAAGAAGAAAAATTCGAAAGAAAAAGAAAAGAAAATTCAAAAAAAGAAGAAGGAAAAAGATAGACAACAATCAAGATTGGACACTCTCAATAAAAGCACCAATGATGAGGGATCATGTTTCTTGTCCCGGTTGTGGATAATCACGCACTAAGGGCCTTTGATTACACACGATAAATTGTGACGAAAGACGCACTATGGCCTTCTTGCGAACACGGTTGTATGATAAACACGCACTGACGGCCTTGTCTAAACACACGAATGAACAAAACGTTCTTTTATTTTAACTTCTTGACATGAAAGTAATAAAAGGTGGCAAGTATTTGTAGATCCTAAGTTACTCTAAACCTACTCCAACTAGAATTCCTAATCTTGCAAGTAAATAAACTCCTAAGGAAAGTAAATATCCTAACATCTAGAATTACTATGTAAATAAAATACTCATAGGCACATGCATTTATTTAAAATCTTCTAACCATACTAGAACTCCTAAAGATGCTAATAGAATCTTGCTTCAATCTCTTGCTTGCTCTTTAAGTCGGTTGCGCCCCAAACCCTAGCCGTCCGCTCGTTCGTACTGACTGCCAGGCCTATTCCTATTCTACATAGGGGAAGAAACCCTAGCCTCTGGCACGCGTCGCCTTGGGTCCATCCGGTGTGCGTCTCTCCTATGCTTAGAAGGATCATGCCCGAGCCCACATCGCCGAGTCTTAATCCGCTAAGGAGTTTGCTCGAGCGTGCCTCCACTTTGCCTATTCCTATGAGGATTAGCTTGTCATTCTGGTCCTGCCGCTCCCCGCGTGTGCGCACGCGACCGTTAGGCTCGCGCCCTTTGCTTGTGCGATAATCTCGCGTGCGTCCTCGCCCAGCGCACACGTGCGTTCTCTCTTGGCTATCTCTTCGGCCGATTGGCGTGCGATCCTTGACCGTTCCAAGGCTCGGCCCACCGTGTGGCCAGGTAGTCTAGCCACATACTCATCATCCGCTCCCTCGGCATCGCCGTCGAGCTCGCTCAGTGCCCCGCGCGTTCGCCCAACGTCGTTTGCGTGTCCGCCTATCCATAGTCATCCTTTGTGCGCGTTGTCCACCCTGCAAACTCCCCTCGTGCGCTGCCCGATGCCACCGCCGCTGCTCTAGCCTCCAGGCCCTTGCTAGCTAGGCCCATGTTTACTAGGCCCATGTGAACTCCTCGATCTAAGCCTGTCCATATACGCGCCACGCAAACACCTCGTGCTCTTAGTGCTCATGCGGCGTCTTCGTGATCCAGACTTTGTGAACGCTCGAGTTCCTCTCGTGCCTATCCGCTCCTTCACACGAGACTCTCGTTGATTACCCCACGTTCGCGACGACTCGTGTCGCTCCTCATGTGCTCGTGCACGTTGCATACAAGCTCGTACCCGTCTCTTAGGCCATGCATGCGTGAATTTGGCCCTTTTTCGGCCTTCTCGAATAGTCTCGGCCTTCTGCCCTTCTCGTCCTCGGGGGTCAAAACCCACATCTTCATATGCCCGTGCGCCAACAATCCACGGCCCCTCCCTGTGATCTGCCAACGCTCGGTAGCAAGCTCTGCCCGTGTCTATAGCGCGCTAGCGCGCCCAGTAACCCAATGCACCAGCGATGTCGCGCGCGATAAGACTGCGCGCGTGCTGCAAGAAGCCGCACCCAACCAGACCTTGCGCGACCGAGTCGGGCTGTACCAAGTCACCGGCCAGTTCACTAGTGAGCCGCCGGTTTAGCTGAACCAGTCCGGGAAAGCCCAGGCGGTTCAACAAATTCCAGTTCGATGTTCCGGTTCGAGCAAGCCAAAACTTAAGCATTTTTTTGAGCCGAGTCAGTCCAAGTTTAAACCAGAAAAACTAGTTCCGGACATACAAAATTGTCCGAGAACCCTAGACAGACTTAGAATAAAAATTAATTAACTTAGCTCATAAATTATATTAATTCGCCAAGCCGTTAAAGTTAGACAAGAGACTAAGGTTTAAAATAAAGCTAAGTAAGAAAAATAAGTAAAGTTAAGAACCTATTAATCAAGAAGATTAGTAAAATCAAGAGATTAAAGAACCAAGTATTATGAGTTTGAACAAAAGAGTTGGAATATATTTGCTTAAATATGTTGTAGCTTGAGGAGAGTCGAGCCTCCGTTAGCTACGAGCACTCCAGCACTTGCATTATCAACTTATCAGGTGGGTACCTCGTACTAGGTATTATATTGTCTATAATCTCTTATCTCGTCTGAGGTATGTGTGTAAGAGTTTTGCCCAAGGGCAATGACCTACAAGTAAGTCCTTGCAGCTACTTATCGCCTAGGCTGGTTTCCAAGGTAACCCATCCAGGTTCTGGTGGCGGCTGAGGCCATTAGTGTTCCACTGGAATGTGCACATGATGTTGGGATCTTTGAGTATCTCGTTATGTACAAGTCACGAATTCAATAGCAAACATAAACCTATGAGCATCGGATCTAAAGGTTTGACGTAGGAAACTTATGGTTTAATATTTATCTGAATTTGGTGGATTTGGAATGATTGGGCTTGGCACACTAGAATGTCTAAAACATGAAACGCGAGGTGGGGATCGACCGGTCATGTCGCAGGGATCGACTCGTGTCGCGGGAGACTGGTGCGTCGGGGCTAGCCGTCGATCACGGTGGTTGTC